ATGCAAATAAGACAATTAATCAAAATTTTAATATATTTAAAATAAAAAATATTATAGTTGAATTCATAGAAATAGATAGAATCCAATATATCCAAATGATAACTAAATCGACCATAAAAACAATAAAACTAACTAAATATAACTTATCTAATTATATATATAATTAAAGTAATATAATATTATAATATAAATTAGACATAAAACTATAAATTAATTTAAAATTTAAGTAAAAATCAATCAATTATTATTGTATATTTATTTTATAAATATTTATGTCCGTGCATGAGCACGGGAAAATCACCTAGTTGACATTAATTATAATACACAGGTACTACGTACATTGGTAGAATCTTGTTTTAACGCTTTTAAAAAAATCATGTATTTGATTGAAACATTTTTTATATTAGTCATAACCAATAGTATAAATAAGGCACAATATTATAAAAATATATAGAGCACGATCCATTTCTATTATATTATTAAGAATCTTGTAATGATAAATTACAAAAGTCTTCAAAATTTCAAAAAGGAAATTTAATTAATTAAATAAGTTGGAAATCAATTTTTTGGGTGGTATTTCTAGACATTAGATAACATGTACTCCCTCCGTTTCAATTTAGTTGTCATTCTAGGTTTTTGCACATAGATTAAGAAAACAATTAATTTTACATATTTTCAAACTAAAAACACAATTACCTATACACCTAACCACTTTTCAACCAATGAAAAAATAGAATGACTTTTAAAAGCAATAAATTTTGCATTGAAATTAAAAAACGACACTTATTTTGAAACAAAAATTTTACTCTAGAATGACATTTATCTGAAACGGAGAGAGTATGAGTTTGATAAAAAAAAAAAGTAGCATGTATGAGTTTGCTCTGATGCAAACTCTTGATATTTATGCCTTTAAGTAGAAAAATTTAATATTTCATGAATGATAGATACTTATACCATTAATAGCGTATTTACGGAAAATTATAGTCATCAGTTCTGTTTTTTTTCTCTCTATCAAAAAATATGAAATTATGAATTCAAAGTATGTAAATGTATTAATTTATTCAAGAGAAGTTTTCAACATTTTAAATCAGGCCTTCAAATATTTCGGTCACAATGGAGTAATTAATTACGTAAAGAAAATGAGACTATATACAAAAGTATATAAAATCTTGAAAACTAAACTTCTAGAAAGTTAATCAGAACTTATCATAATGTTTTCAATTTGGTCTAATACGTTAATGTACAACTCTTTTGCTTTTTTTTTTTGAACACCTCTTTTGCTTATAGTTCACATTTCACGAAATCTACTCACTTCTAACTTCCTTTTAAATCAACCCCATTCTTCTCCCTTTGAGAAACCTTAAACCATCCTTCATCTTCTTCCTCTTTCTCTTCAACTCTTCAGAAGAAGAAAGAAACACTGAGCAAAAGAGAAGATAACAATGAAGAACGGGTCAGGGAACACGAACACAAAGCTCATCCTCCTTCACCCTTACATCCAAAAACAATCAAGCACCACTCGTCTATGGCTCCTCGCTTTCGTCTCTTTCTTCACCATCATCTTCCTCCTCACTCTCCTCTACACTAGAGACACCATCCCTTCCAAAAACACATCCGTCGCCGCCGCCGTAGCCGCCGTCGTCACATCCGCCGCCGGAGTCTCACCTTCTCCAACCACCACCACCACCAACTCCAACCTCCCCACAACCACCATCAACGCCTTACTCCACTACGCGTCAAGATCCAACGACAGCTTCCACATGTCTTACGGCGAGATGAAGTCAATCTCCGACGTCCTCCGCCGCTGCGCTCCGCCGTGCAACCTCCTCGTCTTCGGCCTCACGCACGAGACTCTCCTCTGGAAAGCGCTTAACCACAACGGACGCACCGTCTTCGTGGAAGAGAACAGATACTACGCTGCTTACTTCGAAGAGATCCACCCGGAGATAGACGTTTTCGACGTTCAGTACACGACCAAAGCTCACGAGGCCGGAGAGCTCGTCGCGGCGGCGAAAGAAGCCGCTGGTAACGAGTGTCGTCCCGTGCAGAATCTCCTCTTCTCAGACTGTAAACTAGGTTTAAACGACTTGCCGAATCATGTATACGATGTTGATTGGGATGTGATCTTTGTGGACGGGCCACGTGGCGACGTTAACGAAGGACCGGGGAGGATGTCGTCGATATTCACGGCGGCGGTTCTTGCGAGGAGTAAGAAAGGTGGGAGTCCGAAGACGCATGTGTTCGTGCATGATTATTATAGAGATGTTGAGAGGCTTTGTGGAGATGAGTTCTTGTGTAGGGAGAATCTTGTTGAGTCTAATGAGTTGCTTGCGCATTACGTGTTGGATAAGATGGATAAGAACAGCACAAGGTTTTGTAGTGATCGTAAGAAACGCTCTGTTTCTTCTTTGTCCTAAAAATTTGAGAGAAGTCATATATTGTTATGCAAAGTTTGTAAAAAATAAAAGTTTTCTTTCTCATTGTAAATCTTGGATCTTATCATCTATTTGAATTTTGAAGACTTTAATTTAATCCTATCGATTTTCTATACCCTCAGTTGAAAACTACATATGAATATATTACACAAACAAATTAACATACACTGTTTTGGTTTTCCTAATTCCTAAAGCAAAACACATTTGACATAATCATAACCAACTGAACCGTAATATCTCCGACGACATCATTGACAAAATCGTTATGTCTATCAAAAGAGTATGTCTTGAGAAATGAACTGTTTTAGTTAATCCCTTTGAAGATATTGAGTTATCAAAGATATTTTCAAACTTGATAGTTCTTAAGAGACTAAATTCAATTTGAATCTGTTGATGTTTCGTTCACGGTATCCTCTATACTGTACTTGTTGGTGATGGATGTTGGCCATATCCGGCACCACTATGAGAAGACCTAGCTCCAACTCTTTTTTACGTCTGTAAATAGTAACCATAAAATGAAATTAATAGAATCAAAATAGATATAATAAGATGAATGAAATTAGTTTTAATCGGAATACTTTCATTTCATTTATTAATAATTAAAATTGTAAATATTTAAGTATGTTTTCTTTGTATATTTTTAGAATGTTTATGAAAATGATGAAATGAATATTTCATCCATTCATATCAAATGGTAAAAAAATTATGTAATTAATTAAATAAGTCATTCCACATCATTCTATTTCGAAAAAACAAACGATCCAATTGCAATCTTAAGAACCATATAATTAGAGTTTGGCTCTGTATCGGTTCTTTTCAACTTTAAGTCGTTTCGGTTCTAGTTTCGTGTATCATATGTTTAAAAATAAGTTTATTCTACTCTTTTCTCAAAATATGCAAAATAACTAAAAATATATTAGAATAACTAAAGTTATATATTTTCTAATTTTAAATTTCAAATTAATAGATATCCATTATAACTAAATTATATAAAAACATCGAGAAACACGAATTATAAGTCTTTTTCCAAATATTAATACTTTAACAAAACATATTACTATTTTTATCTGGTTAGTTATGCTATTACAATTTATGAGAAACATTATACAGAGATCTATTCCTGACGATATTATTTGCCCTATACATGAAAATTTTAAGTTTTTTCTCGAATTTCTGCATAATTCGTTTTTTCTAGGAATTGAAACCTAAAAATTGCATAGTCTGGGTTTCGAATTCCAGACCTGGATATAGAAGTCTTTTTAAACTTTGACCAATAGGTCCGAATTCTTCCACAAATTAGAAGTTTTAGTACTGGACTTTTGTGTTAATGAATTGAACGGTTTTTATGGATCTAGTTTTTCTTTTGGGTTATATAATTTTATACTAAATAAATTCTGTAGAGTTTTGGTTCGATTACAATTCATTTTTCAATCGGCTCTAGTTTAAGTTTTCGGATAGGGTTAGGTAAATAAACCGAACCAGAAAATACGAAGCCGATTCGATAAAAATAAATTCGAATTGATCCGATCCGACAGAAGTACCAAATGAATTTTGTTTTACGGTATTTTGGGTTATGGATTTTACTCGAATCGAACCCAAATTTAAATAGATATTCAGAATATCTAAATCTTAAAAATTCCAAAAGAAAACATGTATCATACCTATTCTCAATTTATAATATGTATGCAAAACACACTAAGATATTATTAAGTATCTACAATAATTAGTTATTACATGAATAATTAACTTAAATACTTAGTCTAATATATAGTTTTATTTGGTTAATATTAATATTATATGTTTGACATTGCATTTAAAGTTTAGTTATGAATAAATTTGTTAAGTTTGAACAATGTTTTTGTTTTTAGTTTAAATAGTGTTTTTTACGTTTATAGAATTGTTAGTTGTCAACTTTAATATTTTATATTTTGCTATGTGTGATTTAAGTTTATATCAAACTGAAGTACACATGATTTTTTGTTTAACATATATTATGACACTGGGACATAAAAATACAATACATTTTGATAAGTTTTCTTTACTTTAATAGATTATTAAGTATTTTTTAGGTTACAACCAACTGCAAATTAGTGTTTTAGAACCAAAAATCTGGTTAAGATTCGAAACCTGGAATTATATAGAGTTCAATCGGTTCTTCGATATGTTACTAAACTCGAAACCCGACTAAACCCAAATTGAATACGAACCAATTTTTTAGAACATCCGATAGAGCCGATTTTCGTAAATCCGAAATCCGTTTAGACCCGAACTGAAATCCAATTAGGATCCCAAGTGTCCAGCCCCTACTTTTGGATCCAGATAATGCATATACCTAAAAAGAGCAATAACAAGATTCGAATCTAGAAAGAAAGAATCTTGCTTAATAAAATCAAGAATCTAACCAGTTTAAAAATAATGAGCTAACCTAAGTTGGGAAAGCATCAAGTCCTCGGTAACAAAAGATATCCTCGTAAGCCACGTACACTCAACTCATTGGGTAGATTCTCTCTCTATTTTTAGTACCAAATAAGATTCTGTTCAAGTGGAGAAAGAGAAGAGAAAGAGAAACAGAAAGAGAAAGAGAAAGAGAAAGAGAAAGAGAAAGAAAGATGGCCACAGACTTCAAGTCCTTACCAGTTATCGGTACTAACGAAAACCTCTGAATCTATTCTCCTTTACTCTTGAATTTTATCTTCACTCAACATCCATGTTCTTGCAGACATATCTCCTCTACTGCTCAAGTGTGATGATCCCGACATGGCAGAGGATCCTGGGGTCATTGAGGTTGTCAAGCAGCTGGACAGAGCTTGTCGGGACGCAGGATTCTTCTACGTGGTACGAATATTGAGTTCTCTTTTATTTTTTTCTTGGGGTTTGAAAAAGATCTGTTTTGATGGTGATTGGAGAGCAGATAGGTCATGGAATCTCGGAGGATCTTATCAAGAAAGTCAGAGAGATCACGCGTGAGTTTTTCAAGCTTCCTTACGAAGAGAAACTTAAGATCAAGATGACTCCTGCTGCTGGATACAGGTTTGTGTGTAAACTATAAATAATGTTGAATGTCTTTTCCGAGTATCATTGATTCATTGAAATGTTATGCAAAATAAAACAGAGGATATCAGAGGATTGGAGAAAATGTAACCAAGGGAAAACCAGATATTCACGAAGCCATTGATGTAAGTGTTTTGAGTGTATTCAGTAGGAACTAGTAATGTTTCCATGTGATTATCCTGATGTGTTTTTTATTGTCTTATGGGATAATAGTGTTACAGAGAGTTTAAGCAGGGGAAGTATGGTGATATAGGCAAAGCCATGGAAGGACCAAACCAGTGGTATATATATCTTATATGCGTACGCTACTTTGTCTCTTGAGTCTTGACTACTTCTCTATTGTTTCTTGAAGGCCAGAAAATCCTCAAGAGTTCAAAGAGTTGATGGAGGAGTATATTAAGCTCTGTACAGGTATGTGTTTACCATTTTGTTATGTTTCAAACAAGGCCTTTTGAGATAAGTTGCTTATTTCTTTTTCAGATCTTTCAAGAAACATCTTGAGGGGAATTGCATTAGGTCTTGGAGGATCACCTTATGAGTTTGAAGGAAAGATTGCTGGAGAGCCTTTTTGGGTGATGCGTCTTATTGGCTATCCTGGTGCTCCCTTCACAAATGGCAAGCTCGAAAACGACGTCGGATGGTAAACTTCCTTCTGTTTATTATGATTCTCTTTCAGCATACCATTTTGAGTAAGTCATCTTTTCTGAATTATATATGCTTACCACGCTGTTCTGGTTCCAGTGGAGCTCACACTGACTATGGTAACCAAATTTAAACCCTTAAAGACCACTTTTGATTCTATCTACATAGTTCTGTCTCAATAAGGGAACATTTTTTCTCTTCAGGCTTGTTAACTCTTGTAAATCAAGATGATGACAAAACTGCTCTCCAGGTATATTATATTTTTGCTATCTTCTTTAACTTTTATGTTTATGTGATTCTAAGTAGTCTTGTCTCTCTAAGAGATTTTGAACTTTTGAAAAGGTGAGAAACTTGGGAGGTGATTGGATATCAGCCATTCCCATCCCTGGATCATTTGTTTGCAACATCGGCGACATGTTAAAGGTTTTTGTTCTTCCTAAGCTCACCTCTCGTTCTTGAATATAACCTTTTAAAAACCTTTTGGGGAATCATCATGCAGATACTTTCAAATGGAGTATATGAATCCACACTTCATAGAGTGATTAATAACTCTCCTCTATACCGTGTCTGCGTTGCATTCTTCTATGAGGTTGCTAAATTTTCTAACACTCTTTTGTGTGTATTTCTCCGGTTACTCCACATTCGAAACTAAAATTTCATGTTTATTAAATCTTGTTTGAAACAGACTAATTTCGACGCAGTGGTGGAGCCATTGGATATATGTAAAGATAAGTACCCTGCAGGGAGAGGAGAATCCCAAGTTTTCGACAGAGCTGTCTATGGAGAGCATCTGGTGAGCAAAGTCCAAACCAACTTTGCAATGTAATGATACATAAACCTCTCTCACCTTCTTTGTACACAAATCGTTTGTACTTTTACCTTCAGGTTTGGCTTGTAAATTATAATAAGGGCTGCCTCACTTGTATGGATATACGTTTTTTTCTTCGTGATTGTGATTTGGCTTTCAGTTAAAGAAGATATATCTTGTAACTTAAGTTAATCCATTATGTTAGCAAATTACAATTAATTTAGCGCAATAAATATTAACTACAACTTTAAACATAAAGTTAAAGGTAAATTTAAATATACATATTTACTAGATGATTTTCCCGTGCTCATGCACGGGTATGAATATTCATAAAAGTAAAATTTTATAATAATTGATTGATATTTATTTTTATTTTTGAATAAATTTATATGTATAATTTACATTAGTAAATATTATATTATTCTAATTATACATATGACTTTGGATATATTATTGTCGGTTTAATTATTTTTTGGATCAATAGTCGGTATGGTTATCAATTTGGTATATTGGATAATATATATTTTTCGAATTCAGCTATAATATTTTTATTCTAAATATAATAAAACTTTGTTTAATTTTCTTATTTTCATTTCGGTTGGTTATTGTCTTAGATATGTAAATATATTATAGTTAAATTATGTATAACTTAATATATATTGTTCTTAAAATGAAATAAATAATAAGCTGAAGTGTTTGATTCAAATTACATAAATGAATATAATGATAATATTTTGAAGTCTCATGCATATATATAAATTCTACAAAAGAATTAAATTGTAACTGATAAATTTTTTGAATATTCATGAACATATATATTTTTATTATTTTGAAAATATATTTTATGTTATTTAAAATATATATTAATGGGGGTGTTACTATTTTGTGAATTTTCCTTTTTAATAAAGTCATATTATATACCTATATTTTCGTTTTAAATTTTTTTTTTACAATTTTAGTAATATTTCCTTTTTATTATATATGTTATTTGGAAAAAACTAAAAAGTAAACTAAATAAAAAATTAATAATAATCTTAAAATCTAACAATTCATTAAGGGTATCAATGTAATCAACCATCGCGAGAGTTAATGTGAACACGACACGTAGAAAATTGACTTCTCAAATAATATTATAGAGATACGGTACATCAAAGATTTTCTAATTGATTTCAGATGAGAAGATGATGACCAACCACCATAGCTGATCAAGTAGTTTGATCGCCGAAGATGATCCACTGCTGTGTTCTAATGCGATGGATTCTAAGATGATCCGCTGCTGTGTTCTAGACTAGTTTAATTTAAAGTAGTCTTGATTCAGAGCTTACATTTAAAAAGTTAGAATTTTACTCTTAATTTTTAGTTTACTAATTAATAAGTAGTATTTTTTTTGTTAAAAGTATGATTGTCAAACAGGTAGTCCCTTCCCATCCCGTACCGCAGTGAACTCGACTTCTCGCGGGTCGTTGTCCTGTCCCGCACGGGCTGCGGTCTGCAGAAGGTCGACGCAGACTGCTCCAAGTTGCTCCACGGCGCTTCAGGGAGGTCTAAGACGCTTCAGGCTGCTCCATAACATACATGCATGCACATATTGAAGATATATCAACCATTTGCTATTCAAGCTCACAAAATTTTCTATATATTGTTTTGGACATCATTTACATTCTTTATAAAATTACATTAAACATTCACTTCGAGTCTTTTTTCTGCATTCATAAAGTTAGGATTCATAAAATTTATGATAAAATGCATGTAGAAGATAAAATGTAAAGTCTGAACCAAATTGAAGTTTAGAAAAACACCAAATCATTGTACTCAAACAAAAACAAACAACTTAAAAATCAAATCTCAAATTGTAATAAAACAAAATACCAAATCATAATAACATTTCAAACATGCTTCTCTTCATCTTTAATCCTCATCTTCTCCATCGACAATGAATTCAAATGAAGTCAATTTCTCTTCCTCACCATCACCAGCGATTTCTTCATCTGATAATATAAAATATTATTTACTTTGAATTAAAGATAATTACTGTACAATAAATTAAATTGCTCATTCTTTGCCATGTGCATAAGATTCATATCCCTTGATCCAGTTCCTAGTGCATATCAGAGCTTGCACATTTTTTGGAAGTAGACGGCTCCTATATTTGTTTAGAACTCGCGATCCAATACTAAAGGAGGATTCTGAAGCCACTGTTGTGATTGAAATACTTAGCAGATCACATGCCATTGCAACCAAATCACCATACCGATGCGCATTATCTTTCCACCAATCGAGGATGTCCAAGATCTGGAAATTAGTAATGTCCAAAGGAGGTTCATCAAGATAAGCTTCTAGAGGTATCTTTCCACTAACAACACCACTGACTTTTCAAAATGCAAAAAAATCCTAAGAAGGTTTAAAAAAAATATCAGAGGGGTTAAAAAAATAAACATAAGGGAAAAATTTGATATTGCACTCACATCGTAGTTCTGAAACAGTCCCATTGACCCTGGCGCAAAGGGTTTTTGTGAAACAGTCTCACGTGGCTCTGTAGAAGGTGAGTTATTCTTGGAGTTTTTGTCATAAGACTCAAACAAAGTAGTAAGCTTCTCCCGCATGTTCTTCAACTTTGCATCACGTGTGGTCATATCAAGCTTCCCTAAACATCATTCGACAATTGAAAGCTTAAACCGTGGGTCGAAGACTACTGCCATTGCAAAAGCATCACTGACTTCCACCCAATATTTATTGAACTTCTCTTTCATCGGTGGTACCATGTCTCTGACAATCTCATCTTCTCTGTACTCATTCTATTGAAGCCAACTATGGATCTTCCAAACCTGATAGAAATACAAGTTCGCAGTGTGGTCATATCAAGCTTTCCTAAACATCATTCGACAATTGAAAGCTTAAACCGTGGGTCGAAGACTACTGCCATTGCAAAAGCATCACTGACTTCCACCCAATATTTATTGAACTTCTCCTTCATTGGTGGTACCATGTCTCTGACAATCTCATCTTCTCTGTACTCATTCTGTTGAAGCCAACTATGGATCTTCCAGACCTGATAGAAATACAAGTTCGCAGTAGGGTAATTTGAACCAGACATCAGGCTTGTAATTTCCACAAAAGGACCCAGAAAACAACATATATTCTCAGCTCTAGTCCATTCCTCATGTGTGGGCGCCATCTTATAACCCTTCTTATCAAATGTCTCCAACTTAACAAATGTTTTACGGTACTTTAATGCCCTTTCAAGCATGTAGTAAGTCGAGTTCCATCTTGTCGACACATCCAGTATTAGCCCCCCCCCCATTTTCTTCTACACCCGCAGCATCCACACATTTTTCAAATAAATTTTCACGTGTTTCCAATCCTAACACATACTTAACACTCTCTCTTACTTTGTGCAAAGAGTCTTCAATAACCTTCAACCCATCTTGCACTATGAGATTCAGTATGTGAGCTGCACATCTAACATGGAATAACTCTCTGGCGCACAGCAAATCATCTCTTAAATTTAGCTGGGATTTGATAATATCTTGCATCGAGTCATTACTTGTAGCATTTTCTACAGTGAGAGAAAATACCTTCTTATTAACTCCCCACTCTTTCAGTGTATCAAGGAAGCGGACTGCAATTTTCATACCGACATGTGGTGGAGGTAGAGCACAAAAAGCCAGAATCTTGCTATTCAACTTCCAATTCCGATCAATGTAATGTGCTGTCACACACATGTATCCTTCCCGTTTCACTGATGTCCACAAGTTAGTTGTGAAAGAAACTCGTCCAGGAAGACTTCCTAATCCCCTCTTCAGTGTGTCTCTCTCACTTTCATATAATCGATACATATATGCTCTCGATGTGTTTCGACAAATGGTCTTCACATCGGCATTCAAATACTTCCATGTGTCTCTCACTTTTTCATACTCCACATACGAGTAAGCTAGATCATGCTATACTATTGTCTTCCATTAATGGTGAAATGGCATCCATCTTGATCCACCAGTCGATGTCTACTTAATGATATGCTTTATATGATCTTTGCATCCTCATGATCAACCGATGACTGAATTACCTGAGAGTTCCATGTGTGTGATGATGATGAATTGATTAGAGAATCCACAATGAAATCTGGATAGAAATTTTGATGATTACTATTTGTTGGTCTTGGGCAAGTAGTCAAAAAGAAGTTTATTAAAGGTAAAAGAGAACTATATCCTTATGCTATATATATAAACATAAATAAAATAAAGTAAAAAAGAAACATAAATACATTTTTATTTTTGAAAAAGACTTTTTTAATTTGAAATTTTTATTTTGATTCTTTCACAGATATTTTTCTGAATATGTTTTTGAAATTTTATTTAAAATCTGAAAAATTCTTTGGAAACTATTTTGAAAATTATTATTATTTCAAATCTTAAATATTATTTAAAAAATCCTAAACTCCATCCTTAAACTCTTAAAATGAAAATATATTATATTAAAATATACTATAACATGTCATATTATAAAGTAAAAGATATTATAAAATGTCAAATACCTAACAAACATCCTATTGTATTAAATTTGTACATGAGTTCGCGGCAACCAACTAGTTTATACAATTTGAGTAGCTAATAAGCAGCTATTAGAACTCAATCACATCCTGATATTTTTTCATTGGTCTTAGTTATCAAGATATTTGTTTTTTAGTTGTCAAAATATTTTAATACTTTGGAAAGTTGGATCGAGATTCAGGTTTGGATCTGGTTTCATATTATTGAAAAGACAAGCTACTATGGCTATTGGTCAATTCCGATAACACAGAGATCACGAAGATAAAACACCAGAGATTGGTCAGTTTGAGAATTCTATGTAAAGTCAAACTTATAGTGAATTACGAGATGACGATTCTGGAGAGAGAACTATATATGGTTATGTTTGTCTTTCATTCCGGATTCTATTTTTCGTCCAAAAAAGAATTATAATTTATATCCAATGTTCAGAAAGTGTTAAAAAAAAAATATCCAATGTCCAGAAAAGTTTGT